TTTACATGTCAATCCCAGTTCCCTCTCACTCCCCTCCTCCCGCACTCCCCTTCCCCCCACCCTCCCACCCTATTGCCAAATCCTTCCACATAGGGGATATTTAGAGTCTGTCATTTCACTCTGGGTAGGGTCCAGGCACTCCCCTAAGAGTCCAGGCTGAGAGAGCATCCCTCTTTTTGCTATAGGCACACGATGACTGTTTGTATTCCAGGGATAGACACTGGTCCACAGCTCAGGGCCCCATAGGTTGCCCAGGACTTCTCGCTGACACTCACATTTTGGGGGTCCAGAGCAGTCCCATGCTGGCCTCCCCAGTGTCGGTCTGGGGTCCAAGAGCTCTCCCCTGTTCATATCAGCTGTCTCTGCTGGTTTTGTCAGCCCAATCTTTGCCAATTTGCTCATCACTCCTCTCTCTCTGTCAATGGGTTCCTTGGGTTCATTTCAGTGATTAATTGTGTGTTTGCTTCTGCTTCCATCATTCACAGGATGAAGGCTCCCGGATGGGTATAGACATCACATTCATTATCAGGGATGGGCATTCGAGGTGGTCTCTCCACTATTGCTTAGTTTGCCAATTGGTGTTATCCCTGTATCTCACTCGAGGTCACTTTGGTGCCTGATCTGTCTTCTATCCTATGATTCCCTCTTCCCCCTTTTCTACCCCCACCCACTCAACTTCCTGTTCCCCCATGACCAACTCTCTTCCTCTTCACCCCCTCTCTTCTTCCCAGCTCCCACTACCCCCCCACCCCTCTCCGTGTTCCGAATCCATTCAGAGGATCTTATCTCAATCCTCTTCTCTTGGGTACTATGCATATATGCATATCTTTTAGGTTCTTTCCTGTTTCCCAGACTCTCTATCAGTGGAAGTGCAGACTGGCACTATACTGATCCATGGCTAAAATCCATATATGAGTGAGTACATGTTTATCTCCTTGTACAAAACTTAAGTCCAAATGGAACAAAGATCTCAACATAAATCCAGCCACACTGAAACTTTTAGAAGAGAAAGTGGGAGATACTCTTCAACGAGTTGGTACAGGAGACCACTTCCTAAACATACCGCCAGTGGCACAGGCACTGAGATCGACAATTAACAAATGGGACCTTCTGACACTAAAATGCTTCTGGAAGTCAAAGAACACAGTCAAAAAGACAAAAAGGCAGGCCACAGAATGGGAAAAGATATTCACTAACCCGACATCTGACAGAGGGCTAATCTCCAAAATTTACAAAAAACTCAAGAAACAAGTCTCCAAAACACCAAAGATCCAATTAAAAGGTGGGGTACAGAGCTAAATAGAGAATTCTCAGTAGAGGAGGCTAAAATGGCCAAGAGACACTAAAGAAAGTGCTCAACATCCTTAGCCATCAGGGAAATGCAAATCAAATCAACTCTGAGATACCATCTTACTCCTGACAGAATGACTAGAATCAGAAACACCAAAGTGGAATTGCTGGGTCTAGTGGTAAATTAATTCCCATTTTCCTGAGGAATCTCCATACTGATTTCCAAAGAGGCTGTATGAGTCGGCACTCCCACCAGCAGTGGAAGAGTTTTCCTCTCACGTTGATCCTACCAATCCAAGAGCATGGGAGATCTTTCCATTTTCTGGTATCTTTGATTTCTTTCTTAAAAGACACAAAGTTCTTGATATACAGGTCTTTCACTTCCTTGGTTAACATTATCCCCAGATATTTGATGCTGTTTTTGGCTATTGTAAAGGGTGATGTTTCTCTGATTTCGTCACTTCATCATCTGTATATAATAGGGCGACTGATTTTTTTGAGTTTACTTTGTATCCTGCCACATTGCTGAAGGTGTTTATCAGCTCTAGGAGTAACCTTGCGGATGTCACAAGGTATACTGCACTATGACATCACAATTATGCACTGTGACATCACTAGAGTGTACTGTGATATGACAATTATCCATTGTGACATCACTATAGTGCAATATGACATCACAATTATATATCATGACATCACTATATTGCACTATAACAATTATACACTGTGACATCACTATAGGGCACTATGACATCACAATTATACACTGTAACATCACTTTACTGCACTAAGAAACACAATTATCCATTGTGACATCACAATATTGCACTTGCGACATCAAAAATTTACATTGAGACATCACTATAGTGTATTATGACATCACATATCCATTAGGACATCACTATAGTGCACTGTGATATCACAATTATACACTGTGTCATCACTATGCTGCACTATGACATCACAATTATAACTTGTGGACTCACTATAATGCAATATGACATCACAATTGTACCCTGTGACATCACTATAATGCACTATGACATCACAATTATACAATATAGTGCACTATGACATCACAACTGTACATTGTGACATCAATATTCTGCACTATGAAACACGATTATACACGGTGATGTCATTACAGTGAACTGTGACATCAAAATTATACACTGTTACATCACAATACTGCACAATACCATCACAATTATACACTGTTCCATCACTATACTGCACTATGACATCACAATTACACACTGTGACATCACTATACTGCACTAGGACTTCACAATTATACACTGTACATTCATTATAGTGCACTGTGACAACACTATAGTGCAATATGACAACATATTTATACATTGTGAAATAAATATACTGCACTATAAGATTGAAACACTGTGATATCACTTTACAGCACTATGACATCAGAGTTATTGACTGTGACATCACAATACAGCACTATAGTATCACAATTATACACTGTGACATCATTATAGTGAACTATGAACACAATTATACACTCTGACATAACTATAGTGCAATATGACATCACAATTATACATCAAGACATCACTATAGAGCACTGTGACATCACAATTATACATAGTGACATCAATATACTGTATTATGACATCACAATTATACACCATGACATAACTATTATGCACTAAGAATACAATTATACACTGTGATATCAATATGCTGCACTATGACATCACAATTATACAATGTGAAATCATTACACTGCACTGTAACTTCACAATTATACAAGGTGACATAACTAGAGTGCACTGTGAATCACAGTTATACACTGTGACATCACTACAGTGCAATATGACATCACAAATACACACTGTGACATCACAATTATACACTGTGAAACCATTATGCTGCACTATGTCATAACAATTATACCTTGTGACATCACTATAGTGCAATGTGACATCAAAATTATACATCATGACATCACTATACTGCACTATGACATCACAATTATACTCCGTGACATCACTATAATGCAAAATGACATCACAATTATACACTATGATATCACTATGGTGCACTATGACAACACAATTACAAAATGTGACATCACTATAGTGCAATCATGACATCACTATACAGTACTATAACAATTACACACTGTGACATCGTAATTATACACAGTGACATCACTATGCTGCACAATGTCATCACAATTATACCTTTTGTCATCACTATAGTGCAATGTGACATCACAAATATAAGTCGTGGCATCACTATTCTGCACTATAACAATTATACACTTTGACAAGGCTATACTGCATTATGGCATCAAAATTATCCAATTTGACATTACCATACTGCATGATAACATCACAATTATACACTGTGACATCAATATTCTGCACTATGGCATCACAATGATACACCGTGACGTCTCTACTGTGCAATATGACATCACAATTACGCAATGTGACATCACTATACTGCAATACGACATCACAATTATAAACCATGTCATCACAGCTTCAGGTAAGATTGGGTCTTTGGCGGGGACCACCCGCCCATCACCCATCCCCTTGATCTTCCGGGCCATTCCTGGCATCCAGAAGACCTGCCCACACAGGAAAGACATCAGCCCCTCCAAGACCCCAACCCCAGCAAGTCCAGCTTCAGGAAAGACATAAGCCCTTCCAAGACCCCAACCCCAGCGAGTACAGCTTCAGGAAAGACATCAGCCCTTCCAAGACCCCAACCCCAGTGAGTACAGATTCAGGAGACCTGCCCACACAGCAAAGAAGTCAACAATTCCAAGACCCCAACCCCAGCGAGCCCAGCTTCAGGAAAGACATCAGCCCTACCAGGACCCAAACTCCATGTCAGCATCCCCAGCTTCAGCTGCAGGAAGGAAGGAGACCGGTGGAGACAGAAAGACCCCACCAGCACCCACTGGAAGAAGAGATGGGAAGAAGACAGAATAAGAGATCACTCAGCAATAGAAACACCAACATGACCCCACCAGAATCCAGGGATCCAACACCAGCAAGACACGAAAAAAACTACATAGATGAAGAGAAGGAGACAGACCTTAAAAATAATTTCATGAAGATGATGGAGACCCTCAAAGAAGAAACGAGGAAATACCTTAAAGAAATAGAAGAAAAATCAAACAAAAAATCCATGAAATGGGGGAAAATTTTCAAGAAATGAACAAATCTCTCAAAGAATCTAAAGAGCACCAAGAAAAAAACAACCAAAATAATTAAGGAAACGACTCAAACAGTTGAAGGATTGAAAGCTGAAATAGAAACGATAAAGAAAACACAGAATGAAGGGATGCTGGATATAGAAAAGCTGGGTAAACGATCAGGAACTACAGATGCAAGTATCACCAATAGAATACAAGAGATAGAAGAGAGAATCTCAGGTGTTGAAGACTCATTAGAGGATATAGAGTCGTCAACCAAAGAAGATCTCAAAACCAACAAATTGTTAACACAAAATATCCAGGAAATATGGGACACCGTGAAAAAGCCAAACCTGAGAATAATAGGCTACAATTACCTTGATACCCAAGCCACACAAATACACAACTAAGAAAGAGGTATGGGCAGACTCAGGTTGGTCCTTGCATAGAAGCAGGTCTTCTCTAAGCACATAAAATTCCCAGGGAAATGGGTTAAGTGATGTAGGGAGTTGCGGTTCAGAGCAGGGCCCTCACTCACCTGAAGTACCAGGAAAGGACTGGAAGATACAGGTGTGGGCAGACTCAGGCTGATCCTTCCAGGATGTGCAGGTCTTCTCTATGTGCATAAAATCCCCAGGGAGACAGAGCCCGGGATGTAGGGAGTAGAGATTAGTTTGGGCTCAGAAGATGGCCCCACTCACATTAAGTAGCAGCAGAAGACCAGAAGACACTGGTGGGGGCAGAATTGGGATAATTTTTCCAGGAGGCATAGGTCTTCTCTAGGTTCATCAAATGCCCAGGGAGACTGAGTCAGTGATGTAAGGAGTTGAGGCTCAGAGCAGGTCTCACACTCACCTGAAGAACCAGGAAAGGACTGGAAGACACTGAAGACTGGGGTGTGAGCAGATTCAGTGTGGTCTTTCCGGGAGGGCACAGAAAACACACAGGGAGAGGGAGCAGGGGAAGTAGTGAGGTGGAGATCAGAGCAGGGCCCCCACACACCTTAAGCACCGGGAAAGGACAGGAAGACACAAATCAGTGCAGATGAAGGGTGATCCTTCTAGGAGTCATAGTTCTTCTCTAGGCACAGCAAAACCTCAGGGAGACAGAGTCAGTGATGTAGGGATTTGAAGCTCAGAAGAGGTCTCACACTCACCTGAAGCACCAGGAAAGGACTGGCAGACACTGAAGACTGAGGTGTGGGCAGATTCAGGGTGATCTTTCTGGGAGGAGCAGGTCTCCTCTAGGTGCAGGAAACACTCAGGGAGACAGAGCCAGGGCTGTAGGTAGCTGCTGCTCAGAGCACGGCCCACACTCACCTTAAGCACCAGGAAAGACTGGAAGACACAGGTGTGGGCAGACACAGGATGATCCTTCTTGAAGGCCTTTGTCTTCTCTAGGCGCAGAAAATGCTCGGGAGATGGAGCTGGGGTTGTAGGGATTTGGGGCTCAGAGCAGAGTTCCCACTCACATTAATCACTGGGAAAGGACCAGAAAACACAGGTATGGTCAGATTCAGGATGATCCTTCCAAGAGTTGCTGAAAACACCCAGGGTGATGGAGCCAAGGATGTAAGGAGTTGGGGCTCAGAAAAATGCCTCCTCACCTTAAGCACAAGAAAAGGGCTGGAAGACACAGGTGTGGGCAAACTCAGGGTGATCATTCAAGTAAGCCTAGGTCTTCGCTAGGCACAGCAAATGCCCTGGTATATGGTTCGGGCATGTAGGAAGTTTGGGCTCAGAGCAGTGTCCCCACTCACCTTATGAACCGGGAAAGGACCAGAAGACAATGAAGACTGAGGTGTGGGCAGATTCAAGTTGGTCCTTCCAGGGCTAGACAGGTCTTCTATATGCACAGAAAATGCCCAGGTAGAAGGAGCCAGGGATGTAGGGATTTGGGGTTCAGAACAGGGACCCCACTCACCTTAAGCCCTGGGAGCAGACTGGAACACACATCAGTGGGCAGACTCAGGGTGATCATACCAGGAGGCATAGGTCTTATCTAGGCACTGAAAACACCAAGGTAGATGGAGCCAGGGATAAGGAATTTGGGATTCAGAGCAGAGCCCCCACCCAAATTAAGCACCTGAAGGACTGAAAGACACTGAAGACTGAGGTGTGGGAACACTTAGGGTGATCGTTCCGGAAGGGGCAAGACTTCTCTAGGCACAGAAAATGCCCAGATAATGGAGCTGGGGATGTAGGGTGTTGGCGCTCAGAGCAGGGCCCCCCACTCACCTTAAGCAGTGGGAAAGGACCAAAAGATTCACGTGTGAAAAGAAACTGGATGATCCTTCTGGGATGTGAAAGTGTTCTCTAGTTGTAGTAAACACCCAGGGCGACTGATCATGGGATGTAGGGAGTTGGGACTCAGAGCAGGGCCACCACTCAACTTAAGCCCAGGAAAGGACCTGAAGACAAGGAAAACTGAGATATGGGCAGACTCAGGATGGTCCTTCTGTGGGAGACATGTCTTCTCTAGCACACTCTAGCACAGAATATGCCCAGTGGAATGGAACAGAGGATGTAGGGAGTCGGGTTTTAGAGCAGGGCCCCCACCATCACTAAGCACCAGTAAAGTACCGGAAGACACTGAAGACTGACATGTGGGCAGATTCAGGGTGGTCCTTCTGGGATCAGAGAGATCATCTCCAGGTGCAGAAAACGCCAAGGGAGAAAAAGCTGGGGATGAAGGGAGTTGTAGCACAGAGCAGGGCCTCCACTCACATTAATTACTTGGAAAGGCCCAGAAGTCACAGGTGTGGGCAGATGCTGGGTGATCCTTCCAGGAGGCACAGGTTATCTCTGGGTGTAGATAACACCCATGGAGATGGAGTCTGGGATCTATAGAATTGGCCCTCAGAGCAGGGCCCCAACTAACCTTAACCACATGGAAATGACCAGAAGATACTCGTGTGGGCTTACACAGGCTGGTCCTTCCAGGAGGTGTAGGTCTTCTCTCGGGGAGAAAATGCCCTGGGAGGCAGAGTTGGGGATGTAGGGATTTGAGGCACATAGCAGGGCCCAGACTCAACTTAAGCACCAGGAAAGTACTGGAAAACACATGTGTGGGCAGAGTCATGGTGATCTTTCTGGTAGGCTCAGGTCTTCTCTAAGTGTAGAAAATGCCCAAGGATATGGTTTGGATGTAGGGGTTTGGGTCTCTGATCATGGCCCTCATTCACCTTAACCACCACGAAAGGACCAGAAGTCACCTAAGACTGAATTTTGGGCAGACTCAGGGTCATCATTCTTGGAGGGGCAGGTCTTGTGTAGGTGCAAAAAATTCCCAGGGAGATGGAGCCAGGGGTGTTGAGAGATGGGGTTCAGATCATGCCCCTTTCTCACCTTAAGCAACAGGATAGTAACAGAAGTTACTGAAGACTGAGCATCGGCTGACTCAGGTTGGTCCTTCTGGGAGGGGCAGGTCCTCTCAAGGCACTGAAAATGCCCAGTTAGATGAAGATGGGGGATATAGGGAGTTATACCTCAGAGCAGGGCACTCACTCACCATTGGCACAGGGACAGGAGTGGAAGACACAGGTGTATGCAGACTCAGGGTTATTCTGGGAACACAGATCCTCTCTAGGTGCAGAAAATGACCAGAGAGACAGAGACCTGGATGTAGGGAGTAGGGGCTCAGAGCAGGATTCCCACTCACCTTAAGCACCGGGAAAGACCAAAAGACCCTAAAGACTGAGGTGTGGGCAGAATCAGGATGGTCCTTCCGGAGGTGCAGGTCCTCTCTAAGAACAGAAAGTACCCAGGGAGGTGGAGTCAGGGATGTAGGGATTTGGGTCTCAGAGCAGCACCCACACTCATCATAAACACCATGAAAGAACCAGAGGACACTAAAGAATGAGGTCTGGGTAGACCCAGGGTGGTCCTTACAGTTGGGGCGTGTCCTCTCTTGCACAGAAAATGCCCAGGGACACTGAGCTGGGGGATGTAGGGTGTTGGGTTTCAGATTAGGGCCCACACTCACCTTAAGCACTGGGAAAGACTAGAAGACACAGTTGTTGATAGACTCAGGGTGATCCTTCAGGGAAAAGCAGGTCGTCTCTAGGTGCATAAAACACCCAAGGAGACAGATTCAGGGATGTAGGGTGTTGGGGCTCATAGCAGTGCCCTCACTCACCGTAAGCACCAGGATAGCACTTGAAGACACTGAAGACTGAGGTGTGGGCAGACTCAGGGTGATCCATCCAGGAGTGGCAGATCTTCTCTAAGCGTAGAAAATGCTCAGGGAGATGGAGCCAGGGAATTCAGGATTTAGGGCTCAGAGCATGGCCCCCAACCACCTTAAGCACCTGGAAAGGACCAAAAGACACTAAAGACTGATTTGTGGTCAGACTCAGGGTGGTCCTTCCAGGAGGGCAAAACGTTTTCTTCTATGATTCTGTAGAATATGATTTTGGCATATTTGAGGTGGGTTCATTCACACTCTTCTATATCTATTATTGTTAGGTTTGGCCTTTTCATGGTATCCCATACTTTCATGCATCTTGTGAGTTTGTGATTTATTGGAGTTAAGATTTCATTTTATCAATGAATTTATTTCTCCTAGTGAATTTTCAGTTTCTGCTATTCTCTCTTCTATCACTTGAATTACTTTGCTTCTTCCTGCATCTGTAGTTCTGCATTATTTACTCATCTTTTCTCATTCCAGATTTCCTCAGACTGTGCTATTTCATTGTCTCCATTTGAGATTTAAAGACTTACAGTGTTTGAATTGATTCTTGCAATTATTGGTTAGTCTTTTCTTCCATTTCTTTAAAGGATTTTTCCCATTTCCTCTTTTAGGGAATGTATCATTTATTGAAGTTGTTTTAAGATCTGTACAGAGATGTTCAGATGTTCCTGGTGTAAAGTCCCTAAACACATTTACCCCGATATTTTTTTCTGTTTTAGAATGTGTGCTTATAATGCCATCTTTGCATTCCTTCATGGAGTGGATGCAGGTGAGGTCTCTTCATCTCCTGGTGTTTACCAGTATAAGATTCTTTTCGAGTGGTTACAAGTAAGTTCTATACACTGATGGGTCTCTCAGTGGGTACAGGTGGGTCTGAGGCACTCCCTCACCTTATGGTTGGGAGGCTGTGAGCAGGATCAGCACAGGAACATCAATAGGTTTATAGTTGCTTGGTCCCCAGGGTTCAAGTGACCTGCTTGCAGTTCGCAGGCCAGTACATGCCAGCGAGGACAAGCAAAAGTTGAGACTGTGAGAGGCCCCAAGCTCACCTCTATCCAGAGTTGTGGTGGGAGTATCCCATCAATGTCAGAAGACTCACATTTGCTTGGTCTACCAGGGGGAGTCACCCTTGTTTGTGATTCAAAATTTGTTCAAATGTCAGGTATTTAACTCAGAGTTTTGCTCTCTCTGCCTGCCACCTTTTGGGACTAGAGGAATTCAACACCACCCTGAGCTTGAAAAGTTGTCAGGTTTTATTTTGAGAGTGTGTATAAGTGGAACAATATTGGCTGTACTGAAAATCACTCTGTAAAGCAGAATAGCCACAAACTCACAAAGATCCACATGACTCTATCTCCTTTGTACTGGGATTTAAAATTGTGCCAGGCATGCCTGGCAAAAACAGTTTTAATTGAAATTCAAAAGTAAAACTGGCATTGTGAGAAAAGAAAGAGAAAACCAGGAGGTCTAATGGTTCACAATGAACTTGTAGTTTGAGATGGGCTGAAAATTGTGACTTTTGACCATATCATAGGACACCTGTTGCGCACTGGTTTTAAAAACAGGCAGATATTTTTAAAGGACCCAAGTTTGTTCCCCAACATCCACATGGTTATCAATGTTCCTAGCTCCATTTCTAGGATATCTTATTCTCTCTCCTACCTATTATTGTCCGCAAGCAACTCATTAGCTACATGTGTACAATTCCTCAAAACACATACACAGAAATTAAATATAAATTATTAAATATAATTGTGCATGTAGGCACACTTCATAAATTTCACTTTTTGGATGCAGAGGCAGGGGGATTATTTTATGCAAGAATTGCAAGAAATGGAGGAAAAAACAATCCAAAAAATTCAGAAAATGCAAGAAATGGAAGAAAAGACAAACCAAAAATTTCAACAAATGCAAGAAAGAGAGGAAAAGAAAAAGCAAAAATTACAAGAAAATTTCAAGCGTGCAAGGGATGAAAGCTGAAATAGAGACAATAAAGTATGCAGTCTAAAGGAATGCTGGAAAGAGAAATGCTGGGCAAACAGTCA